GAAATAATAATCGCTTGATATCTAGTAGATAAAAATACGTTTAGAGCGCTAAAATTATGACTAAAGAGTGACGTGAAGAAGCCCAGAATATTGCCTTAATGATTTCTATTTGGCTTATGCGAATCTTTGTCTATCAATTGTGCTTAAAATTTTCTACCTGAAACTACAAAAGTCCAAAAAATTATTCAGCAATTTAAGTAGTGTTTGGAAGAAAATCCGACAATTTGTCGGTGTACTGGCGCAACTAGTCTGACTAAAATATCGACGTTTATGTCCCCTTACTAGTCTTTTTTACACTTGACTTTGTAATGAAAGCGCGCCATTCGCGACAAAGGATTCTAACTAATAATGTCTAAAGGTAGTACTATAAATCTCAAGTTATGCTAAAAGCATTCTTTCGGCTGCGGTAACCCTGGACAAAATATGTTGCTAGATTAATTATAGATAAGTTATACAATCCTGTCAAACAATGCGATACCTTCGTATGCAAATAGGGTTGTCAGATCTTCGAGTTGACAATGATGTTTTTATAGAAGTGGGCATCGCACAATGACACCCCTAATGTTAATTGATCAGATGCCAATAGACAGGAATTGCGATTGCGTTTGTTTTAGCTGTTAGTATACTTTTTTAATATCATCGTGGTTGGTGTTCGTTCGATAAGGATTGAGTGTTGACATTGTTTTTTTTTTTCATTTATTAAGGAGTATAGGGCTGGTAACTGTCACTGGTCGTCATTTTTCTCTCGCCCTCAATTCGCGTCATGTTTATTTATATTTGACAGCCCTACGTAACGCGATCCTTTGTCTGCGTCCCGAACAATGCCATGTAATTTAGTAACAAAATTCAATTATCTATATGTCATGTTATTATAATTTTACTTGTAGTTTAATGATAAATAAAGTAATTATAAGATGGCTTTTGTGACAAATTTCCTCATTCATTTCTTTACGACTCATTTTTGAGTGGATATGATGGATATAATTAAAATTTTAAATGATTAGAGAATCAGGCCAAGCTGAAAACTTATCAAGTCATTGGAGAATTAATATCATCATATTCTCTTCACTATACATCTCCATTGAGACGCTCGGAGTCTACCCTAACTTAGGCGTAACCACTCTGGCTCAGGTTGTTCACACATATCTTTGAATTTTTTTACAGGTTGCGTGGCGATGTTCGTAAGAACGTCGGATAAATGTACATATGTTAATCGAAAAATACATGGCGGTATTCGAACCCAGGAGCTGCAGATTACAAGTCAAGTGAGCCTGAGCCACCGACGCTCTCGAGAATAAGCGTTATTTATAATATTAAAGCTTATTCCTTATATTTTGTAAGAAAATCAATACAAAGAATGGAGATGTAATATTTTTCTCTGATGTATTAATATTAATGAACTTGGTTTGAAACTGCTTGAGGGGGGGAAGGTGGAAAATTCTCAAATAAAGATGTAGGCGTATTACAAGACCCTCCCTTTTGGGGGGAACCCTTGAAGTGGGAGGGAGGGTATTTGTATTGATTAACATTTGTAAGCAAAAGTTGTATTGTTAACTTTTTTTTTAATTACGGCGCTTTTTTCATTTTATATCATTGGTATTGTGTACAGATATTGGTTCATCTTTATAAAAAAAAAAAAACAAAACAAAAACGTTTTTTTTTTTAATTTTTTTTAATCTTTCCAGCATATTTAACATGACTAAAATACCAAGTATAGATAAACTAATGTTTTTTGCTGTTTTAACAAAAAAAAAGGTTTTTTTTCTTTTTTTAGTGTCAATAGATCGTGGGTTTTTCTTCAGTAACGTTGTAGTATATTTACATAGAAATACGTTGAGGATATCTATGAATAGAGAATCACCGCACCCTCGAGCCACCGAGACATTTATGGTAACGAATTGCCCAAACTGTTCCAACTTAGTTGGCTATCCCCTGATTTCTGAGTGCATTCACCCGTTTCCAACTTATCGGTGGTGAATTCATTAAAATTTACATCAATTCTCTTTTGTGTATTTATTTTTTATTACAGACTAGCTGTCGCCTGCGGCTACGTCCGCGCGTAGTGGAAAAAAACTTAATTAGTTAGCCTAAGTGTTCTTCCAGACTATGCTCTACAACTATGCCATACAGGGAGATCCATAAAGCCGTTCTCGAGATAACTTTAAAGCAATCGCATTTATAATATTAGTAAGACTATGTAGTAAATATTTCATGAATTTAATGGAAATAATGTAAATAATTTACTCATAGGAAATGCGTTCACTAGCTAGTGATATAAATAAAAAAAAATCGTTATTGATCCACAAAATTTTATAGTTTCTTAGGACTTTGCCTCTAGTGATAGTTCTCTTAAGCTAAGTTTTAAGTAGGTGGTAATTTATGCAGTATGTGTAAGTGTGTGTGTGTGGGAGTGTGTGTGTGTGTGTGCGGGGGGGGAATAGATAATGAGAAATAACAAGAATAATAGCGTACAAAAAGAAAATAAGCTTAAAAAAACACAAGTAATTTAATCCTGATTTTAGAAGATATTTAGGTATTTTTAAATAAGAATTAAAATACGAATAATTTTCGTGGTAATGATAAAAAAGATTGTATTAAAAGGAAGGCTTGCCGACAAAGAAGTAGGTTTTAAAAGAAAGTTTTTGAATTGCGAAGGGGTGTGCAATGCGAGCAATTAAATTAAGGCGATAACGACGCAGACCAAATTAAAGGGCCAAGTCAGCCACCGCGACGCCATGTTTGACGCTGACTTCCCGCGCTTTTTAACGGACGCGTTCACTGAATGCTGTTATTGACTTAATGGCCGCTACTTTTTGATGATTTAAAAAATGTACGTCTGTAATTATTTTTAATTAATGTCTTGAATAAATTTTCTAAAGAAAAACAACAATTTTTAACTAAATTGTTGACTTCTAGGTTATGGGGATGATCCTCGATTTAAATGTTTTTGGCTGAGAACAAAACTTTTTCTATTTTTTTTTATGTTGGTCAAAATTTATTCGGCCATCTGATTTTATTTGTTAACACTTAAAGGGTATTGTGATCGTAGTGTTAGTTTTTTTTTAATTCCCTTGTAAGCAATAACTGTTTAATCGTATGATATTCAGCCAGGCGGGACATTAGTAGTGCCTTTGTTTGCTGGCTTCAAATAATCGATTGTTGGAACCTTACTAGTGCCGTTATTGGATGTGCAAGGCCCGAGGGATTATTCCTTTAGTTTGGACGTGACTCCGGGGACGGGTACGGGAAGATATTGGATATTACAATTCTAGTTTTACCTATTAAACTGAATTTATGCTAGAGCTAGAACATTATTCAAAAGCTATTTATTACAAAAACTACTAAGTTAAATATTTACTTTCATACGAACAAGTGACGATCATTTTTAAGCGACTTTTTCATTATATTATAACTATATATACAGAGTAGTATCTTTGATTCTCACATTGATAGGAAAGTAATTCAGAAAGTCGTAAAATTGGAAAGGGTGTTATGAGGGTCAGTCTGTAAGCTGGCGTAACGTTGAGGGAGACAAATACATGGGAGCTAGTTTTCACAGACAAACGAGAAGTGGCCGCTCGTCAAAGCTTCACACTTCGCTTTTGATGGCTCTCCGTAAACAGACTCGTGTGCGTTGCAGTGACCAGACTTCCGGTATTATTGTGGATATTCCTTATGTATAATTAAATATTGATGCAGGACTCTTTGTCGATGGTTTTTTATTACTCGTTATTATTGAGTAGTCTGTGGATGACCACAACGAGAATGACTCGTAGACAATGATGATATATTTGTTATGTATTTAGATGCTAAATAAGCTATGATCTATCATTAGGTGACATAACTATTATGAAAGTTCTGTCCGTAAGATTTTTAAAATATGATGTTGCATCTTTATTCCGGTTTTAATTTTGGCAACCCTATTCTACAGCGATATCAACTTGATGTAAGCATGTCGTGGATTTAGATGATTCTACTTTTTCCTTTAAGGTCATAAGGATAAGGTCTATTTTCGCTTGTTCTTCTGACTTGTTTCCTCTGCAGTTTCATATTACGCCAACCCTCATTGTAATTGTTATTTGGGGCGTGGTTTTGTAATTTTTCTTAGAATTATGTTTGAAAAGTTTAGAAATAAAGATATTTAAAGTAAAGTTATTTAAGAAATAATGATTTAACATAATTTTTTAAAACAATAATTTGTAGTAGGAATTACTTATTGACTTTCATTTGTTATAAATGACCTAAAAGTCTATGTTACCAGGTCATAAAATTAAAAAAAAAAAACATTTTTTTTCTTAATCATATTTTTTTACTGTTTTCCATATTTAAAAATATACAAATCAAAAGCAGATGAAATAAACATCTGTTTTGTTTAGAACCAGAGCAGACTCTCGACATAAATTTCATTATTCGCTTGAAAGCGCAAACAAATCGAATTTGTTTCTGAAAGTTGGGGAACATTTGGTCGATGTTGATATTATTATGCAGCTTCTGCTTTTATCATAATCATATTCTTATGACAAAGATATATTTTTATTCTATTTAAATAACACGAAAAGACTATACCATTACACTACAAGAAATTTGACGATACTGGACTTCGGTTGAACAAGAAAAAAAATAATTAAATTTTAAATATAATACTAATTTAGACCGCGACTCCGACCGGGACAAATTAAAATAAACAGTAGCCTATGTGTTCTTCCAGACTATGATCTTCATCTATATCAAATTTAAGCGAGATCCTGGAGATACCTTCTTATAAACACCCATCCATCCATCGAAACATTCGCATTCGTAATATACTAGGTGTTGCTTGCCACAGCGTTCGCGTGGAATGAAGAAATAAAGGTAATAAGTAACCTATGTATTCTTTCAGACTATGTTCTACATCTATGTCATTTAGGGAGATCGGTACAGCCATTCTGGAAATACCTTCTACCAATACATCCATCTAAATTTTCGCATTTATAATATTAGAAGGATCTATTATTGCTCACCTATCACTGGATACCAGTATGAGTTGCGTGTTGGCATACTTCGCTCTGCGCTTGCGCACCGCCGCTAGTGCGTTGCATAGACTCGGTGCAAATGTACGACATGGTGGGCACTGCAAATAAAATGGAATTAATTTAATATTCGTTGATTAACAATTCAATTGTCACTAAAGTTAAATAAAGAGGGACATACCTACATTAATTTCTTTGTAAAATCATAATGTGGTTTTTTGTACTATCTTAAGAAATCATATCTAAAGTTGTTTTGGAACTAATTCTAACTAAAGTTATTTAGCAAAACCTACTACATCTGTTGTCGACAAAAAGTGGTTTTAAAGTTTGACATACAAACAGAAAGCATTGATTCGATTACTTTTAAATTATAAATTGGTCGATACAGCTTTAGCTAAGTTTAGTATTCGAGGCACATCGAGTAGAGTACCCTAGTTCTAGACGTACCAAATTAAATACTAGATAACATGTTTACAAAGCTTACCCAATGCGCGGCAAAGTAGAACACTCTGACAGTATCCCCTGGTAACTCTTCAAACAGCTTGCTCCCCGTCTCACCCTGGAGTTGCACTCCTCGGAGGACGTCCGTCAGTGGCGGTGCAGGCCAAGGGAATCTCTCACCCCCTGGGTCGTTCAATAACGCGTCCCTCACCGGTCTGCCGCGGATCACTAAAGTAGGGACACCCACTGCGATGCTGTACTTCTGGGTTAGACGGCGCTGCAAATAAGTTTTTGTGTTAGGTTGGTAGTAAATTATTTGTTTAGTATAATGTTCTAAAGAATCGGGATTCATAGCATGATTTTACACTTCGAATATTTAAAATTATTTGTGACAACTTACACGTTAAAATATTTTTTTAAGTATGATTCGATAAGTAAAACATACCGCCGAGGACAGACCATTCCACAACGCTGCTATGCGAGGCAGGAAGTTTCGAGAAAACGTTGTATGTCTTTCATTTAAAGTTTTCTAACTACCCTACACTTTAAGCACGTCCTTCTATTTTTAGTGATGTTTATGGTAATCTTTCAAATAGTAAAGACATAGACAATGAAGACAGCACTCAATGAGATACCATAAACAATTCTTTAAAAAGTTTAATTTTTCTTATTTTCCAATAAATTCTAAAAACCAATTACTCGTTTCATCAGTTATTTACATATTAATATAAGTTTTTTATTGGATAAAATTTCCATTCCCACAGTTGACTGACTTGAATAAATATGCCGTGAAATTAAACGGATGCTTTTTATACGAAACTAGCTGTCGCCCGCGACTCTGTCCACGAGGATATATAAAAAACTTAATATATAGATAAGGTAAATAAAAAGCATCTCTTCAAGGCATTTATTCGAAAAAAAAGGAATAAATAGTATCCGTCTCCTGGTTCTAAGCTACCTCCTCACCAATTTTCAACCATATCGGTAAAGTCGTTCTTGAGTTATAAATAGTTTAACTAACACGACTTTCTTTTATATATATATATAGAAGAAAATTCTTCGCTAGCTGGCAGAGTGAAAACAATTTTTTGATTACTTAAAGTAATGAGATTGATTATGGATACAAAGATAGAGGAAGACCAAAGAAAGAATAGATATAGTGAGTGGATATGCGTAAGGCGGTGGGTTCAGATATGACGGCTGTTGGAGGTGTATGGAGTAGTACATACTGTCCCGACCCTCAATAGCGATAAGGGAAGGATGATGATATCAAGTTTTTATTGCTGGTATACATTAATAAAATACAGTTTAAAGCACTAAACATTTATTATGCTTACTGATATATAAATTGCTTGTTTATTTCTATCAGAAAACTCTATGAATTGCCAAATAAGCGCTCTGCAGTTAACAGAGACGATGACACTTAACAACGTTAAGCTATTTCCGTAAAATATTTTGTAAAAATTTAAGTATTTTTATGAATTTTCAAACGATCGTTCTGATTTTAAATCTCTTAAATCTGTATATGAATAATTTGCAGTGTTTGTATTATAGAAAATAAACATATATTTTTTTATTAAAATTCTGTGTTGTGTTATGAAAAGTTAATCCTTGCTAATATTATAAATGCGAAAATAACTCTGTCTGGGCTTCTTTCACGCCAAAACTACGGAACCGATTTAAATGAAATTTGGTACACATATATTTTAGAGCCTAGGAAAGGACATAGGTTACTTTTTAACGCGAAAAAATGTTGTAAGGGATTGAAAAGGCGGTTGGAAATTTAGAACAAGAGGGAATTAGGAATTAAAGTTTGAGAAAGTATTAGAATAATTGAGGTTTATGTGAATGTTTTATGAGTTTAATATGTTTTGATGTTCTGTATTATAAGTGTTAGCAAAATAAGTAGCCTATATAAATAAAATGTTACCCAAAGACAGAATTCCACGGGAGTGAAGTCGGGCACAGCTAGTTGCTTAAAATCATCATTATGACGTTAAAACTGGGTTAGGCGCAACTGTTTAAAATTAATATTAAATTAATCTTTTACTCGTTTTAATTTTCCATTGGTAAAAATAGCAGAATGTTTCGTTTAAATGTTTCTTCTACATAATTGAAGTTTATGAATAAATGAGGAATAGGAATAATATTTTTAAAATAAAATTATAAATGTTACGACTCCGAGATGCGAACGTAAAAATATTTAATTGGATTATTAAAATTAAAAACAAACTCATTTCAAAACTTTCAACATTCAAACAAAACTTAATATTTACAATTTTATTTTATACACAACGTATTTTAAATTAAAATATTTATGTACAAAATGGAGTGTGTAGCGCTTTAAGACTTTAAGGACATTTCCAAAAAATTAATCGACATCACAGGGGACCGAAGAGCTGGCAGCTACCTCGGTCAAAGAATTAGTTTAGCTGTACAGAGGGGGAACGCTGCCAGTATCTTCGGGACCTTGCCTAAAGGGACTCCTTTTATTAACATATTTTAGTTATTATTCGTTTTTTTTTTTAATTTTATTTTATATCATAGATTTAAGAGTTTATGTATTCATAGAAATAAGTATGAAGATATTATAAAGATATAAATGGAGTGTATGTATATAATATCAAAAGTAATATTCATATTTCGTAAACACAATGTATTTGATTATTTTGCTTATTACGAAAATCAATTTTTAGCAGAATGCAAAAAGAAGGTTATAAATTCGTCCGCATTTTTTCTTTTTTTAAATTTCTCTCTGACTCTATGTCTGTTCATCATTTGTTTCGGGTAATCTTCGAAACGGTTGGACCGATTTTAATGGGGCTTAGATTGGAAGGTAGGTGATGTATAACGGCATATCATAGGGTAGTTTTTTCTGCGCTAACGAGTTTACGGGCGTCATCAGAGACAATCACAAAACCTATCTTTATCTTCAGATAATATTTTTATGACTTACATACTACACTTCTGATAAATTATTGCCTCTCTATTCTTTACTATAAACAAAAGAAATATAACTGTATGTTCTTATGAACCTCGGTGTTCCCGCTGCTCGTTTGCCCCCTTCTGTTATTCAAATATGTCTTCAGAAAATTGTTTCGATAACAAAGTCGGGTCGTTCGTCTTTTGTCACAAAACAATAGTTTTTAAATCTTATCTGGCAATCATTTTAGTAAGCAGCCAGTGACGAGAAAAATAGAAGAAAGATTTATGTAAGAAGGTAGAATTCAGGCAGCCGCTAAACATGTAGTGAACATATATTGTGTCAACACTCAATAGGAAAAAGGCATGATTTGTGACAAGTCTGACACCGTCTATATGTTACATATTAACGTATTACATAGTTATGTGCTACTGGTATCTCATGGTGAATAAGCCCTTATAAATATGCCGTGAATGAGGTGTGCCAATTAGCGCAACGGTAGCGCAAGCAGTAGCTGTTCAACCAGAATGTACAAGCTCATTTGTTTACGAGCCTCTTGAACTAATAAATCCACTAAAAAGATTTTATGCGAAATAAAAAATAGGAGATGCTATATTAAATGTTTAGTAATCAATTTATATTAGTTTCGTTTAAGCAAAGCGATTTATAGATTTAATTTAGGCATCACATTTAGATAACACTATATTTTTTTAATAAAAAAACAACTGTTATAAAGGAATTGATATATAATACATATGAACCCACATACATAAAGGCAAAAACCACCCATTTTTCTGTCAAGAAAAAAAGTTTTCTTTTTTTTGATCTTTTCGGGTTGTTACTGGTACTTCATCATCATGATCAGCTCACTGTATGTCCCCACTGAGGGGCTCGGAGCCTACCCTAAGTGACGGGTGACTAGGCCATAGTCAACCACGCTGGCCCAGTGCGGGTCGGTTGACAGACTGACTGGCTGACTGAACATATCATTGAATTTCTTCTCGGTTATGTTCAGGTTGCATCGCGATGTTTTTCTTCACCGTAAGAATGTCGGTTTACATAAGTAAATCGGAAATCGAAATACATATTGGTATATGGCGGGATTCGAAACCAGGTCCTGGTGCTCAAGTCAAGTGCTTGAACCCTGAACCACCGACGCTCTCTGGTACTTATTCATTCTATAATTTTTCGACCTGCGACACGATGAAGAAATTTAGGATTCCTCGTCTTTAAATAAAAATGCTAGGAATGATACTGGCAGAACGACCTTGGGATAGCTACGTGACAATCGTTTTATACAATTGGTATTTCTGTGGCATCAAAGAGACGACAGACTATAAAAAATAAAACGTTTTTTCGAATTGGAATTACAAATAATATTAGCATATCTTATTGTGTGGTATATTCAAATGTATTGTCGACTCTAGCGCGCAATAAACGAAATAAAAAGTTGATTTGTACAAAAAATTATTACTACGTAAGAGTTTTAAAACATCTCTATATTTTTATTTTTATTTACTGTAACATTAACAAATGCGATATCTGACGTTCTTACGGTAGAGAAAACATCGTGATGCAATATGCATATATCTGCGTAAAATCCAAAGATATCTGTGAAGTCAACCGCACTGGGCCAACGTGGTTGACTAAGGTCTAGCCACTCCAATGGGTAGCCGATGACGATATTATCAAAACAAATTAACGTATAGTGTGTAATAACTTTAATCGTGTAAAGCCGCGAAATGAAGACATAAAGGCAACCACACACTGATGGGCAATCCAAATATGTTTGTTTCAACAGTTAGCGTGTTGATAATTAACGCGTTATAAATAGATCCCCAGTCGGATGTCGACGGATAACTGACGGCTATTTTGGTTTTGTTTGATATACGCTGGCCATACCTAACACTTCCGTTGTAACGTAGTGAAATGTATATATATTTACGATACTATTTACTATGTGTATGATAAAATAAGCTTATGTATTAAGCAATCATCCCATTAACTAAGAATCTTACTAATCTTATTGATATTATAAATACGAATGTTAAGACGGATTGATGTTTGTTAGAAGGTATCTCCAGAACACCTACACCTGACATGTATCTTGCTGACATTTGTGAATGTAGAATATAGTCTGGAAGAACACATAGACTATATTTAAATAATAATAATCTATATTTAATTGCATATAAGTTCGGAAACTATATATAACTTTAGGCAATACATAAGAGAAGGTGCTGTCTCCTGAAACACAGTATTAACTAGTTCCGGAGACAGAGCCCACAAAATTTTGTGAAAAATGTTTTTTTTGCCCAATAAAGAATTTTTATATTTTATTAAGGTTTTTTTTT